CTGGTGCTTAGCAGGTGAGGCAGAATGAAATCTACCCTGAGAATATGAACCAGTAAGTAGCCCTCACATGGGTTCACAGCCTGAATTCCTAGCACTAAGGTGGTCCAAAATAACTCAACTTTATATTAAAATAGTATTAGATAAAACAGTCTTTACAACAGAAAGCATTTCTTGGGTAGAGTCTCATAATAAAGGCTTCATCAGGAAAATGTAATTATCCTAAACTTATATACATCTATTGACACAATCTGAGAATATAGGAAGCAAAATAGAATTATAAAGAGAAGGAAACATCAATATATGCAATAGTAGAGGTAACACATCCTTCTCTTGGTCTGGGACCAGGTAGACAAAAAAGAAAAAAAAAAAAAGGAAGGATACAGAAATCTGAATGAGACTTACAAATTTAAGTTCCAGACATATTTAAAACTCCATACCCCAGAACTGTAGAACGTACACTGTTTTTGAGGATATATGGGACATTTATAATTACTGACCACATACCTTTAAAATCCCAATATTTAAAGTCATACTACAGTCCATTTAAATCAGGATCTTTGAGGGTGGGACCCAGACCCAGGCATCACCATTTTTAAAACTCCCCCACCCCCACCCTTGAGAGCAATGTGCAGCTAAGGTTGGGAACCACTCACATATGGCATCATTTATAGCCTTCAGTGGTTATATCAGAAAATAAGAAAGGAAGAAGGTTAATGACTTATTTTTTTAAAGCTTTTATTTATTCATTTGAGAGAGAACAGGGGTGGTGGTATGCAGGCAGGGATTTGCGGGAAGGGCAGAGAGAGAGGGAGAATCTGACTCCCAGCTGAGCCTGGGATACCGGGCTCAATCCCAGGATCCCAAGATCAGGACCTGAGCTGAAGTCAGATGCTCCCACCCAGGTACCTCAGAAGGTTAATGATTTAAAGAGTTCACCTTAAGTTAGAAAAGAATGAACAAATAAAGCCAAGAAAATTAGGAGAAAGATCAAAGAGCAAATAGCAAACCAGGAAATATATTAAAGATGATCCACAGAGCTCAAGGCATTTCTTATATCTTCTAAAAACATCAGTTCTAACAACTTAAATGTGAAAAGCAAAACTATAAATGTTTTAGAAAACAGTCTAGCAGAATACATTTACAACTTTGGTATGAGAAGAATTTTTTCAAAGAAACAAAATCACAAGCCACAAAGAAAAGGTGGAAAAATTCATTGCATTAAATTTGAGAAATCTCTTTGTGTCAAAAGATAACCATAAAGAGAATGAAATGTCATAATTGGAAGATACATACATATTTGCAATATATAAACTGGAATATATGAAGAACTCCTATGAATCAACGAGAAATTGACAACTCCCCACCAAATAGACAAAAGGTACAGAAGTGGAACCTGAATGCCCAATAGGTATGAAAATATGCTCAACCTCATTAATAATTAATGAGAGGCAAAGTATAAGTATAATGATGTTATTTCATAACCACTGGGTTGTCATGTAAAATAAAAACAATAAAAACAAAACAAAAAAACCTGACTATCACATGTTGGCAAGAATATTGGATGACGGGTAACCTTTGCTGTGGAAGGGTAAACCAGAGCGATCATTTTGGAAAGCTGTTGACACTGCCTAATTTTGCTGAATACCCCTATATTGTAGGACCCAGCAATTCCATCACCAGGAATATATGTTAGAAAAAACCTTGGATCAGTGAACTTGAAGATGATATAGGAATCTTCATAGAATATAGCTTGTACACCTAAAATCTGGAAACCAACTAAATAATTAGCAACTGAATGGATAATTACTTTGTGACTAATAAACATAATGAAATATTATATTCCAGTGAAAAAGAATAACTATCACCTAGTCCAGCAATCCAAATTCTTTTGTTAGCTGAATGACGCAACACCCAGAAGTATGTTGTATGATTCCAATCACTAAGACTCCCAAACTGGCAAAATCAAGAAATACATATGTATTGTTTATGGCTAAAGTGGTTAAAATCCTAAAAGGAAAAGAAAGAAATGGAATGATTAACACAAAAGTCATAGTGGTTATTCCTTCCAGAAGGGAGGGAAAAGCAGTTGGGGAGGAGTCCACGGGGCCCTGTTCAGGTATTAGTAATGCTCAGGGATTAATAAAACAGGTGTCTTCTTTTTATTATTAAAACGGTACATTTGTTTCATATATTCTCTATCGTGTGATGTAATACATAACTGAAAAATAAAACACTGGAAGAATGTGTAAGATAAGACCTGAGATAGATTTAGGGTTGAGAAAGAAATGTTATCCGTTGTTAACACTCACTCTGAAGACTACATATGACCTAAAGCCTTGTGTTTCTTTGTGGGCATCAGATACACATGAGGTCACAAGTGAAGTCTACTGCTGCTGAAAGGTGAGGATAAAGCATGGAAGGCAAATAAAGCAGTGGAAACCACTCAGAATTAAGTGGGAGGCAGAAAAGGGAAGAGCAGAGGGCTGTGATCAGGATAAAACACACTCAGTGGTCTTAGCAGTGATTCACATCACTCACATCAGCTCGAGAGGGGCTCCCAGAGGGAGACATGTTTTTCACCCTCCATGACAACTTGCTGGACACCTGGACGTGAGCGGTGAGCAGTGGGCAAACGGCAGGCTCCCACTGTCCACAACATGCTTCAGGAGACACCTTTAAGGCTCAGCTCAAGGCTGGGAGGGCTTGCCCCAAATCCTCCCACCTTCCCCCTCACGTTCCCTCACACTCCTTCACACTCCCTCATGCTCCCTCAGGCTCCACACACTCACTGTCTGTCACTCACTGCACTTGTGTCCATGAGTATACCCTCTTACCAGAACACAAGGCTCTCAAGGCCAGGTGCTCTTCCTCTTGGACACCTAGGGAACAGCATGGGGCTGGAGGTTACTTAGGGAGTTACAGGTGTGAGGTTAAGAAACCACATTAAGTATTTTACAAGCAATTCTAGGAACCCTAGAAACTTGACATTTCCTTCAGGAAGTGAGGCACTGATTGGTGGTGAGCTTGACACATGACCTGAGTAGCCGTCTTCTTCATCCCTTGGAGGCTGCTCTCGACCTGAGTGATTTTACCTGCCTTGTGAAAGCCTCCTCCATCAGGGCACATTCCTCAGCATGTGTCCATCCCAGCCTCAAGGGTCTCTTCCTTGTCTTTTCTACATACACACATTCTCTTGGTGCTCCATTGATTATGCCCTACTGTATCAGTTACCGACCTTTTCTAATATATATTTAACCTCTCCCTTTCTTTTGGCTCCTTCTTTGTGCTCAGGTGTTTCTTGCATTTATAGAAGCTTGCAGCCTCCACAGTCATCACCCCTCAGCTGACTTCCTCCTCCTATCACTTCTCCATCACAGCCAAGACTCTTGAGGTTCTATTCTATTCTCTTTGTCTCCACTAGTCAACCTTCCACCCGCCAAACTACCAAAATGCCCCCTCTTACCATGTTCCTAACCACTTGTGACCTGACCTTCTCCTTCCTAGGCTGTTGGGCTACATCTCCTTGGTCTCCTCTTTCCCCACCTCACAAACATTTCTTCTGTGTTCTACCACCGTTTTGTCAGGGCTGGGGCCCTTGGGTGGTATTCCCAGCCTCCTTCCCTCTATTCTCATTCCACACATCCATCCTTTATGATCTTTTTCCTCCCCAGTTTTCATTTCTTCCTATGAGCAAATGATTTTGGTTAAACATTTATTTGTTTGTTTGCTTGTTTGTTTGAGAGACAGGGAGAGAGAACCTCAAGCAGATTCCCTGCTGAGCACAGAGCCAGACGCAGGGCTCAATCTCACGACCCCAAGATCATGACCTGAGCTGATATCAAGAGTTTGACTCTTAAGCACTGAGCCACCCGAGGGCCCTTGAGCAAATGATTTCTGATCTCTGTCTCCAACATATGCTTGACATGCAGTAGCGTGAAGCCTCCTACTAAAATGTACAGCATGTAATTAAGTACCTAGCTCTTGCATTAACACTGGATGTGGCACGAGTTTATCCGATACCCAATTTTACAGAGAGACAAAATTTAGAAATCATTACTTGGGACAAAAAGAAAGAAAACAGAAATCATTATTTGGAATATTAGAAAAATCCTAGAGTGAAGACTTTGGAAACAAAAGGTTGGCAAAATTATTTGGCTTTGGAATCATATTATTCATAAAACAGTCTTTCTCCATGATGCAACCCATTATACACTTCAGTTTTTCTGGACTGTGAGCTATGATATAGATTAGGGGTTGGTAAGCCATGGCCCGCAGGACAAATCTGGCCCCCCATCTGTTTTTGTAAATGAAGTTTTATTGGAACACATATCCATCCATTCATTTACATACTGCCTATGGCTGTTTTCATACTCTAATGGCAGAGCTAAGCTGTTGCAACAAAAGACAGTATGGATTACAAAGCCTAAAATATTTATTCTGGCCATTTATAGAAAAAGTGTGCTGGCCTTTATATAGATCAATACCTTTTTCACTGTTAACATATCCCTTTCTATTATTCATTACTATCTTTAAAATTTTTATTTTAAGTAGGCTCCATGCCCAACATGGGGCTTGAACTCATGACCCTGAGATCAAGAGTCAAATGCTCTACCAACTGAACCAGCCAGATACTCCTTAACATACCCCTTTAAAATGATAACTTGCATAAATTATATTTTCTAAAGGTAAGGATAAATCACGGCTGTGGGACCACCCCACCCTCAATCCAGGCACGAATGCACACAGGTTACATGGTAACTGAGAATGAATTTTTCCGAGACTTACCTGAAAGAACCTAACTGATATTACTAAACATACCACTTAAGTGGCTTAAATAACCAAGGTAGAAAATTGTGGACCTATCTGGTACTATCTAGCCTCGTGGGATGACTGTGTGTGTATATATGGGGGGAGGAAGGGTAAGTGGATACTGAAGCTTCGAGAAAAGCAATAAAATCATGAACAAATAAAATCATGGCTAAAACCACAAGGGCTCTTGCCTTGTCTGCAGGTGTTAACCTGGCCCAGGGCTTGTCTGCCCGGCGATCGTAGTCGGGAGAATCGGTGACTTCTACATACTCATTAAACCGCAGGATCCTTCGAGCTTGTAGCTCTGCCACTGTGGGTCTCAGGCTGAGCTGCAGGGGGATAGGGGAAAAGAAAGGACAAGTTCAGGAAACCATCAGCCTCGTGGTGGCAAGTTTTCTATAGAGAACTTCAAAGTGATGGTTAAATAAGGTCACTTTCAGATATCCAAAAGGAAAAAAAAAAAAAAAAAAGGCAGCAGCATCTTGGGAGTTTCTAATGAGAACCCGAAAGCAGTGTGCCCTAATTCTGAGACTATAAAAATCATCATTGTTAGATAGGTCACAGGCTTTGGCAGCCTTCTGCGTTATGCTATTTTCCACACCTTGCCTGGCATGAAGATACCTGTCATCTCTGACACAAGGAGCACGAAGCAACACAGACACAATAGCAATCCAGATAGAGGCTAGCTGGTTTGGAGACTGAATCATCCAGACAAAAGTACTCTTAAAACTTCTAGAAATGAGATCTCTGCTCCTATTATATGAAACTCCTATATTCAGAAACACACAAAATTATGACAAAGAAACGGTCTGGTGAAGGCTGTGCTTACATCAGTCTTCTGGGTGAGACTAGGGACCCATGCCCAGATTTGACCTTACCCTTGACTGCTGCAGAAGCTGCTGTGCAGATATCAGCAGGGGCGTGGAGGAGGACATTCACTGGGCCAGAACTGCTTAAAACAGGCTGGGATGATTAAGGTACTTCTAATGACTTGGGTCCCTCCTGTGGTCTTTGTCAAATTCAAATTCATAGTTCTATTTAATTCACTCAGCCCTGTTTATTTGCTCTCCTTTCCCAAGACCAAGAATAGGAGAGATGGTTCTGAGACTAAAGAGTCCTGGCCCTGCTGACAGGCATTATCTACTCTCTTCTCCTGAGGTTCATGCTTCTGTGGCCTCTCTCGGTCTGAAGATGTCACAGACCCAGGCCTCTGTTGTACCTATGGGGTCCATTCCCAGTACCTTTTCTATCTGTATCTGTACCTGCATATAGCCGGCCCATCCACTATCTAAGTGGTCCTCTTTGGAGGGGTTCCTCATTTGCAAAGACTCACTTTTTAAAAAAAAATTAAGTACTATGACACACAAAAATGATGTTCTTGTGGTAAAAAAAACAAAGAAACAAAACAAAAAAAACCCTTTTCTGAGCCTCAGTTTCCTCTTGGGTAAAATGAGTGGCTGACCTAGGTCAATACTCTTAACATTCAAGTCCCTCATGGACTCTTAGAAAGCCTGTCTCTATACTCTGAGCTCACTTGAGCTGGGATATGGCAATGGCGGCTCCTTCTAGCTTCATAAAGCCCTGGTAGGCAAGGGACAGAGGGAGGAATGATCTAAGTGGCTCTCTTCTACTCTCACTTGTTGTCTCATCTCTACTGCTAGCTTCTTACTGCTTCTCTGGGGCAGGCAGGGCTAAGGAAGTAGAGAAATGACTGCCTCTGGAAAGTGCCCAAAGACAGGTGACCAGAGACCACAGAAGTCCTTCCCCCAGTCTTGCCCTTTAGGACTGTGCTATTAGTGCTATGGAATGTCCTGGATCTATGGCAGAGAGTTCTGTAGAGTGGAGGCCAGTGGGACTCAGGGGCTAGGGGTCAGGGGTCAGGGTGGGTTCCGTTGCCTCCTGGCGGGGCTCAACTGGATGCAGAAAAGATTATTACGTATGGCAGGGGTGAGCCTGGAACAATGAGGAGAGGCTATTGCTTATCCGTAGCCAGTAACTTGGCAGCCACGGAATGTTAGAAGAGCCGCCTCTAGCAATTCAGTTTACAGAATCTTTCTCAGCTTGATCATTACCTGTCATTTAGAGTCATTGGAAAAGAAAAACGAAAAGATGAATTAAGGATCTTTTCCCCTAAAAATCAAAACCCAAAACTCTCAAAATACAATCTTCAACTTTTCCATGGGAACGGGGTTTCTTCTCCCTGACTTAGAATGCCTTTGTTGTGGACTCCCCAGCCAGCCCAGATAAATGTGGGTCAGGTCACACGCCTCCCCGCAGATGTCATATTCTACTCATCCTGCCTTAATAAGGTGTGAAAGGTATATCTGAAGAATTACTGAATACAGATTTATAATGAAATATCAACTCTGATAGGTCTTAATTTTTCCAAAGACTATTATTATTTTAATACTTACAGAAAAGAGTGATGGCCCAGGTATCAGATTTATATATACATTTTTAAAGATTTTATTTATTTATTCACGAGACAAAGAGAATGAGAGAGAGAGAGAGGCAGAGGCAGAAGGAGAAGCAGGTTCCCTGCTAATCACGGAGCCTGATGCAGGACTCAATCCCGGGACCCCAGGATCATGATCTGAGCTGAAGGCAGCTGCTTAACTGACTGAGCCACCCAGATGCCCTCAGATTTATATTTTCATGAATGCGTGGAAACAACTGAGTCTTGGAGGTGAGCTACTTGTCAATGTGGGTATCACTGCAGCAGGCAGGTTGGGTGATCAAGTTCACTTAATTACTGACCCAGCTCACATGGAGTAGTGGCAGATCTCCAATTTCATATTTATTTAATATTTCCAAAACTGCATAGAAGACATGAGCATTTTAAAAAACTATATTGAGATGTTAATAATGGTTATCTCTGAATAAAAGACATTTGTGTGACTTTCTTTTTGTTTTGTTCCTTTCTGCAATTAAAAAAAATCACATAGCTTATATGTAATTTTCATAATCAGTAAATGTAATCTGAAAAATCTTATTGCTAGCTTTTCAAAATTAGCACAGCATGCAATAATTCATATCATATGCATTACATTGATTTTAATGTCTATGACTGGTTACTGGCTAATAGGAATAATTATTCCTCAATGTTAGATTTAAAGGTAAAGAGCTGATTTGCATTTAAATAATGAAGTAGATCCCAAAACACACATGCTTACTAACAATCATAGTTTCATTACCTTTCTGCTGAGTCTGCGCTTAAGTTCCATTTTTGCTTCTTGTTCTTCTTCTTCATTCTTTTCTGTTTATTAATGGGAGTGGGAGAGGAAAGGCATGAAGACTTAGTTACTATGAATGATTTTATAATCAGAAAAACAGATCAGGCCACAATTATTTGACTTAGATAGTGACCAAACACTCCACAATCTTTAAAAAGTTGTCAAAAGATTTTGCAGAAAAATTGTTCATTAATTGTGTGTGTGTGTATGTGTGTGTTATACACTATATGTAATATACATATTACAAGTTTATATAAGTATATATAAAAAGTTTATATATATATATAAACTTTTTCTCCTTATGGGATTGCTTTCCTTACTAACTGTAAACCTGTAAAGCTTCCTGACTTCATATTCTATTCTGAAAAACATTACAGGAGTGCCCACACTCTGGTGAAAACCTTTCATTGCTGAACATCTCTTGGGCTTATAAGCACCATTTATCAGAATACAGATAAACATTTACTTCTGGATCTGGCCCTTACATGAAAATCTGAGACATATCAAAAGAGCAAATTAGAACCATCTGATGCATGTCTGAGTTGATTTCCATTCAAATCCAACCAAAATACTTGATTTGTCTGCTTTGGTTTCCACAGAAGCAAAATGCAGTCATTTCTTTGGACTCTGCCTTCAAACCAGAATGTTCTGAATGGGGTTATTATGGTGTACTGTTGATGGAGATGATTTATTTTCTTGTGACTTTGACTTTCCAAAGTCATCTGTTTCTCTAGTGCTTCACCAAATGGTACAATTTAATGGCCAATTTAATGAATGCTGTCCAATGGATGGGATGAAGAGAAAAATGACCAGAAATTTTAAAGAAATAAACACCCCCTCCAGATTTTCATGGTTGCTTACTTGATGAACTTCTCTCTGGTGCTTCCAGCAGCTCATCGTTTGTTCAATAAGTGAGCACAGATTTTCACTATTTGGATGCCAATGCTTACAAAAGACTATCTTTTAGAAGATGCTGTTATGAATTCTACTGAAGGAACATCACACGATCTAAAGGCTCAACCAAAAGGTTGAAAAAGAAAAGTTTCCTCTATGAAAAGGTAAATTTATTTTTAAAGTTCAAATAGACTTCTTACCACTAAGATTGTTTTTTATCATGAATAAAGTATCAGTATTCAGTATTTGTACCAACTGTATCTGTTAACCAAACATGCTATATTATCTATTAATTTTCCTTATTTGGACAGGGAAAAGTTTCAGTGTTCTTCCAAAATACTAATTTTAATTCATAAGAAAGAGGATGATCTGGCCGGTTATTTAGACAACGAGTAAGCATAAACTGAAAACATGGTGCAAAGACAAGGAACACTCGGTTAGTATGCTTTAGTGAAGTGCCTGTGTGCCAAATTTTGTTATAATTCAGATTTCTTCCTATGCAAACACTGTAAGTTTTTCTAACTGCTTCACAAAATGTATGTTCTTTGGTATTCTTAAAATACATGCTTAGGGTCAAATATTTACTTTACATGAGTTGGGTAAGGCATATAGGCTATAAATTATATATAACAGACATGAGCCAAACTTGTGGTCATGTGACTCAAACTAAGGCTTTTCAAGGTCAGCCTATGACGATATTACTACTAAAAGGGAAAATATAATCCTCAAAGCATTTTAGTCAATTCCTCCTATATGGTGACTGTGCTCTATTTTTAAAGGTACTTTCCAAAGACAGAAAAGTGGATATCAACTACGACTCAAAGCCAACAAATGCTTTAATTTTCACGAGGGAATATTCAATAACTTCATCTTACTAAGAAGCATAGTGTCCACCTGGGTGACAACATGTTACCTATGCAAAAAGAGAAGGGTCAACTGCAGTTGCAGGAATTAAATAAACAGGATTTTACCACCTGGAATTTGTTTTAACATCAGGAGCTGACTTCTTTACGTATTTCCATATTTGAAAATGTACTTTTAAAGAAGTAAAAGAAAGGGAGAGGTGGAGGGAAGTCAACATGACTGCTGTTCCACATTTTTCTAAATAACTTGTAAAATCTCTTACAAAGAATCAAATCTTACTTTAAAAAACTTCACTGAGTTTTTTAAAGGTCTTCTTTGTTTGCCTATTAGACAGCCAATTACAAAGTAGGATGTAAACCTTTCTGGTCTCTTTAAACAGACTGGAGGGATATTCATGAAGGAAGTGACTTAGCTCATTGACAAATCTTGCCTTCAGTAAGGCCTCAGAGCAGGGCTGGGGGCGGGGAGGGGTTTTTAGAACAGCCACAGGAAGTGTTTGCCGTCACACACGCACAAACAATACATGTGGTTTAACAGCCATGGGCACTGCAGGAAACCTGCCCAGCTAGCAAGTGTTGCCCACAGCATTCTATGGATTAGCTAAAAGAAGACAGAAAAGCACCAAAACATTGGCACCTGGAATATTAGAGTCTTGAGTCATCGATTTGGATACACTAGGTTAAAAAAAAACACTAACTATTTTTTTGTGGGTTTCTCTTTTGGCTGATTTACGTATTTTTCGATAAGGATTTTTTAACAAAAGAAAATGCACTTATAAACCTACTTTGAAATGCATCAAAAAATAACATGGATCAAAGGAAGCCCAGATATGTGATAAACCAAGATAAGATAAAATGTTAAAAAAAAAAAGATGTGATAAGATGTTAATGGCAGAATATAAATAGTATATATATATGGGTGTTTACTGTAAAATTCCTTTTTTTCCCCATTTATTTATTTATTTATCTATTTATTATTTTTTAAAATTTCTTTTAAGTGTACCACAATTCATTGTTTATGTACCACCCAGTGTTCCCTGCAATAAAATTCTTTCAACTTTTTTCTATATTTAAAACATTTAATAATAAATGTTGGGAAAAAAATACAAGCAGCACTCAATACCGTGACACATTTTTTTTTTTTCCTACAGAATATATAGCTGGAATTATAGTCACAACTAAATAGATCTGTAACTTCTATCGTGGCCCTATAAAAGGTATTCCATGAACATTTCCTCAAAGGCAAATGTTGACCTTCCCAGCACCAAAACTTATTTTCTCCTTTTAACAATATTAAGGAATCGGTTCTAAAATGTACAACTAAATATAACTTTCTATGTTTTTTTAAAAAGCCTCAATGCTATAAAATAGGAAAGCGATGGAGTAAGGTAGATGCTGGGAATGAAACACTAAGAGACAAAATGTGTCCTGTGGTCTCAGTGAAAGCGATCAGCGCTGACTGCCACTTGACTCATGTTTATAAAACTAACGGTGAGCTTGGAGTTGACAACTGCTGAATGAGTTTGTGCTGTGAATGAGTTTCCTGGTCTGTCAAGACAAGGTGACCTAGTTAAAATAAGTGTCCTTAAAAAAAAACCCACACCATGTCACACACAGACTTTTCTTTAAAGAGTCAGTCATACTGCTTTTGAACAAAAGCCGGAGATGAAATACATGGACAAAAAAGAGCAATCTGTGTGGAAGAAGCCAGAGGCAAAGGGAATGAATAAAGTATTGTAAACTATGCCGCTGAGTTCCCTGGGGTGGCTCAGTGGAATGCCCTGGATGACCTCCACCAGTTCTCCTTTCTGCTTCCCTTGGCCATACAATACTATGTCAGGAGATCATAAGCCAGTTATCAGCCTCTCCAGACTGGAAATGTGTCTTTTGTTTCCAGAACAAGCATGGTTAGATAAACTACGAAGGAAGTAAGAAAAGGGCTGGAGTCAAATCTGAGGCTGACTTTGGCATTTCCCTCTTCCCTGAACCTCCAGGAAAATAGGGTATAGAAGCCAAGATAGCACTTAAGATCAACGTGGGATAAATTTCTACATCTATGAAACAGTTCCTCAAATAACCAAACACCACTGTGGTTTGGCACTATTTGTCTCACAGAAGCAGGAAAGAATTACCCAGCATCTGCTCTTCCCTTTTTTTCCTAAGTATTGCATCAGGCATCCAATAAGACACAATCTTTGTGTGCTGGGAGCTTATGGTCTGCCCTTGAGCTTACCTAAAGTTTAATTCAACAAATATTTTCCAGGAACCTATTATCAAAAGCCTTGAACTTTCTTGGTTTTGTGTTGTCAAAATTCGACGTTGCTTTCATTCTTCCTCAGAACTCTAAAACACAACTTTCTTTTCTTTCTCACCGTGACTTTTTCCATCTCCATACTGGCTCTTCTACACACTGATGGCCACTTCAGTCTTTCCTTGGGTTCTACTCCAGTTTTTGGTCACAAAGAGCCAGACCAAAATATTCCAAGGAAAGAATACCATAGACTGGCAACTCCCCTCACTGTTCAGTCCTCATCGTTGGGTTGTCTTAGGAAGAGCAACTATAGTATAAACAAGCCATTAAAATGTTCTGTTCCTTTGAGAAAGAAAACAACTCAGATTGAAGAGTGGGGGTCATCCATACAAGCCAGCTTGACTCTACGAGCTTGACTGAGAAAGATTTCCCACATGCCCATGGCTCCTTGCTATCGTATCTGGGGTTTTGCCTATCTCTGTTCTTTGACATTTTGTACAATAAAAAGCTCTTTAGAAACTGGGTTAATAATATATAAAACAGAAAACAAAAAACACTAATATATATATATATATATATATATATATATATATATATATATATATAAAACTGCAGCTAGGCTCAATTTAAAAATATCCATTACTTAACTCACTGTGGTTGGTAACCACATTGATACACTACATAAGCTCAGACCGCTTCTGCTGGTTTTATAGCTTTAACATACGAACTCCAGTGAAGTTCTACTGGACTAGCCAGTAAGAAGGAAAGTCAAAGAAAACAGAGGGGAAAGCAGAATGGGAAAATAAAGTAGGAAAATGAATGGAGAACTCCTTAAGTGCCGAGAAATTATAAATAACTCAAGAGGGAAACAGAGTTATCATAACAAAGGAAAATGAAAAGGACTCAAAAATTTCTTTTACCATAATTCTGTTTTAAATTGAGTCATTTGTTAAATGTAGCAACAAACTGTATTATTAATAATAATATAGGAATGTTTGATTTATTTCCTTGTGGATTCTTTGGCCTTTTCTTTGACATTTATTTGTAAGCAGACTAGAGCAGTTTCTTCTATTTAATATTTGGGTAAAAGAACATATGAAATGTATCTCATCTCTCTTAAAAACAACTGTCACAACCATGACTCTGGCCTGGGGGATACCAGGCTTAAAGCTATAAGACAAAATACGAACTTCAAGAAATTGTTTTTTAAATTATATAAAAATGTGATCTAAATGGGCCATTTCCATTACTTGTGGATAGTAAATATATTAAGGTGTCCTATTGATAAATGGATTGTCTCTAAAGGGAGCTTGTTAATGGTTACATGAGGAATCATTGTAAAAGATAAGATACTCACGTTTTAGGATATTTCTTTGTTCTAACTCTTCGGTCGTGGGTCTCTGGCTAAGCCTCCTGTGACGAAAAAAGGATATACTGCAGGTTACAAACAAGGTCCCCTTGGCAGGAGATGCAAAATAAAATAACAAAGACACAAAACTTAATTTTTTTCCTATTTTGAGAAACACAAATCTATTTTAAGGTTACTATCCTTTCTGTTAGTTTGGAGACTAAAGATTGTGCCTGAGGCTGCTGCCTATTCCCCCGTTATCCATCCCTCCTTCTTCCTTTTAGATCTAGAACCTCCTGAGATACAGCTGTGGTTCCCAATACAGACTTCTGCCTCCCTGGCAGCAAGGTGTGGCCATGTGACTGAGTCCCTGCCGTGGGATGTGAGCAGAATGGTATTTGTAATGTTTGCCTTTTACCCTTAAAATGACTGAGTGTGTCTTCCCTTTTTTTCCTTCCTCCACAGGCTAAAACTTAAACACGATCATGTGAGCCAGCTTGGACCATGCAGATGAGAATATCCATGGAGCAAAAGGACAGAATATGGGTGCCCGCTGACTGCAAGGAATAGTGCTCCCTACCCACCCCGTACAGCCCACTTACCTCTGGACTGTTCTGCGAAAAGGAAATAAACACGTGAAAGTGTCTTATTTGGACCACTGCACTTCTTGGTCTCTGTTAGAACAGTTTAGCCCATCCCCTAAGTAATACATAGATCATTAGAATCTAGGAAAGTTTTCTGCTTGAGAATTCATACTAACTCAAAAGATGCCTGATCTACACGGCACAGAGTTTCAAGTGAAATACTGCTTTTGTGACCTCAAATGGATTTGTGTGTGTGTGTGTGTGTGTGTGTGTGTGTGTGTGTGTATTTTCAAGATTTTATTTGAGAGAGAGAGAATGAGAGAGAGAGTATGAGAGGGGGAGGGTCAGAGCAAGAAGCGAACTCCCTGCCGAGCAGGGAGCCCAATGTCAGACTCAATCCCGGGACTCCAGGATCATGACCAGAGCTGAATGCAGTTGCTCAACCAACTGAGCCACCCAGGCACCCCTCAAATGGATTTATAATATACATAGAGTTATTTGAGATATATGGGCCCTTTCTATCTGCCCTCAGGAAAAGCCAGGCTCATCTGTGATTAGTAGCTAACTCTTTGTACACAAAAGCTGAATGACCTAATACCCCTTTATAACTTTCTTCTTGATCTTGTTTATAGTATTAATTTATCGTAAATCACAGATCTGTTGTAAAATTCCTTCTGGATGTAGGATGAGTTTGTGCCATGTAAACATATGTATGAAGGTAATCTTAATATAAGATACTATCAATTCTAACATTATGCCTGTGGCAGAAATGGTATGAAGAACTGAAATCAATGATATTTTAAATACCTCATTAAAATGTTTGTTAGAGTTTAATCTTCACCAGAACTACCTTGAAAGTAACTTACATAACTGAGCCCACAGAAGAACCCAGGAAGCTAGGAGCCCAGCCAGGTGAGGGGCCACCCATGAATCCTGTAAATTCACCGTATCCTCTACCAAAGACATTGTCCTCCTTTTTTTGATGGAGTTTCCTCCTTCAGGAATACCCTTCTCTCTTTCTCTGCGTACTGAAATCTTACAAATGACTAAAACAGTGACCTGCAGGTGGGCGTCTGACCTGTCCTGCGAGTGAGTTTTGAACTCCTGGTTCTCTGCCCTATATAGCGCTCACACACAGGTCACACACTTATCAGAGCACTTATCACACAAGTAATAATAAAGATAAGGCAATAATCATAGCTCTCATTAGCTCATACTTTTAAAGTCCCAGGCACTGTACCAGGTGCTTAATTTACATTACTGTGGATCCTCAAAACAATTCAGCAAGGGAGTAACCCATTTCCATTTTGCAAATGAGGAAATGAGGGATTAATTCACTTGCTCGAGATCAAGGGCTCATGAATGCTGGAGCACAGCCTCATACCTAGTTCTCCTGACCTACGTGTTTGCGCTTTTCAGTTGACCTCCCCAAGCAGTATGTCTTTCTGTCTCTTCCACTACGCACAGAGTCCCCCAAGGTAGGGACTACGGGTGATTTATCTTTGAATGACAGTGATCAGATGTACAGTATCTGTAGGAAAACAATTCTATAAAATGTACATATTTCTGACACTAAAAACTGCTCAAAAATTTTAATGGCTATGGTTTATGTGTACACTTACAGAGGCTCTCAAACTTTGGAAGCTTAGGGGTAGAATCCCTATATAAAACAGAAGAGGCTGTTCTGGGTGGATGGTTGAGAGTGGTGTGAAGGAGTCTTTCCCGTCCCACAGCAAACACACCCACACTGCCTGGGTTGCCCCACAGAAGCCCGAGTATCGCCTCCAAGAAATCCTTGATGAGGCAGTCAGAAAACCACTGCCCTATGCTTAGTTCACCATGTCAGCTTCTCCCAATGTCCTTTATCAGTCCCCTGTTTTCAAGCACTTGGTTTTAATTCATCACTGCTATAAATAGCCTTGAAATAAACATCTTCGTAAAGTGTATGGGTTTTGTTTCCCTTTTGGATTATTTTCTTCTAGTATCGTCTCTCAAATGGAATGACCATGTCAAGGAAGAGGCTGCTCTAAGATTTCTTTTTTTCATATTGTTAAGTTGCTCTTCAGAAATACTGAACAAAGGTGCCAATATTGGGTTTGTTTAAAATGTTTTACTTGTTTAAGGGATATATAATGATTTAAATTACTAATAAAAATATTTAATTCTATTATGTGCCTGCTACGATCCAGGCACTCCAGGGCTTTCAGTGCAGCTTCTCACTTCCCTCCACAAGCCACTGGTTGGCCCCATCTGTCAAGCAGAGAAGAGCCTCCAGAACCCCAGCCCCACACCAACCCCACAGGTCCAACACAGTCACAGAAGTCTTCCACTTCGAAGCAAGGAGAAGAATTTCTTCCACTTCCAAATGCCGCCCCGGGATCCCAGACTGCTCCCTTCTCCCATTTGATGCACTCTGTTGTTTACGCAGAGTGAGAGAAGTCAGCAAAATGGATAATACTATTAAATATGCTTAAACTGATCATCAAACATTGGCACTCACTTCTCTTAAACCTGCCAGGTCGATGGACCTCCAAAGTCGCTGGTGGCCAAAGCAGCAACCTTCCAATTGCTGGAGGCAGAATGTGAAATCAGATAACCACTTGTTTGAAGTTAAAAGGGGGAGGCTCTACTAGGGGGGCTACAGTTACCTGACTTGGATGGAGCTGGTCATTGAAGCTAACTGATATTTCTAGAGACTCTAAGCCCACAGGGCAGAACCTCATGGCGATCACAGGAAAAAGGATACTTGCCATGCCAGAGAGCCCATGGATTAGGCCAGGAGTTGGGCAAACTATGACTTACAGGCCAAATCTGGCCTGTTGCCTATTTTGGTGAATAAAGTTTTATCAGAACACAACCATACCCATTGGTCTATGTGTTGTTCATGGCTCCTTTCATGCTGTTACTAACACAGTGGTGTAGCTGCAACACCACCTCCGAACTGGTCCTTCATAGAAAAAGTTGTTGACACTTGGCTCAGACTTTGGTGACACCCAAGCCACTGAAAGGCTGGACCAAAGGGAAAGTTGAGTGGTTCACCATCCCGGACCAACTTTGGAAAACCACACAGGCCACATGCGCCCTTAGCCAAGGAATTCACAAGGATCTCAGCTGGGTAGGACACCACAGGTGGGAGAGAAGTATGATTTGGTGAGTGCTGTGAGAAAACGGGAGCCATTACCTGACGAGCTTGGTTCCAATCTGCTGTCGGATCTCCTGCCGCTCCTCTTCAGATGTACGCTGCAAGATGTTTTTGTCCTCTAGTTCCTTTTTTGACGGTCTGTTGCCAAGTTTGATAGCGAGAGTATCCCTCCGTCGTATTTTACTTGCCAAAGCACCTGAGGATTGGAAGAGGCAGAAAGGCAGAAAAAAAGGGCTTTAAGCAAGCAATACTCAGGTTACACATGGCATGGACTTTAAACAGAGTCCAGACGAAATTCTTTATCCACATGCAAGAGTGGAATTTTAATTAACCTCAGGGAAAAAAAAGAAAAAAAAAGTTTTGAGTTGGATGTAGTTCACTTTGAAAGACTGAAGAACTATTTTTAAAATGTTCTGAAAAATGCTGGGGCACCATGAAAAAACTTGCAAATATCACCTCATCATTTGGAAAGTGATATTTGAAGTTTATTTTGCTGAGATGGCATGTCACGGAAATTACTGATTGTGTAACGCTTTCTTTTCTAAGTCTTAAAAACATAGCTTTTTAAATTTATACTGTACAGTTAATTCTTGTCTTCCCCTTTCCTTGACTGAGAAATCACGCTGGAAAAAGTTTACCTGTGGTAGCAATGTTTTAATCCTTAATTAGCAAGAATCCTCAACAGAGAATAGTCAACACCAGGTGGATGATAATGATTTTGTTGTTGCTGTTCAGTACAAACTAAAACGAATTTGACAACTTTTAACAAATTTAACAACTTTTCACGATGTATACATTCAATTCCATAGTAAATTACTCTTAAGTCAAGATGCTTAGACATTTTTTAAAATAAGCACTTTCCAGTTCCCTAAGTTATATATAAATAACTGGCTTAACTACTATCTCATTCCTTCCTAAAAGGCATCCTATCTCACCTATTGTGGAATAATCTTTTTTTTTTTTTTTTGATTCTTCAAAGGTATTTGTCATTCTCGACTCATTCTTCCCTCCCCTTTCTTTAAACTCTAGTATAAAAGTGAGTGGAAGTCTCAAACACCTCCAACAAGTAATCCAGTGAATCCAAGTTTATGCTCTTTATTCAAGAAAGATCTCAGGGGCACCTGGATGGCTCAGTCAGTTAAGTGTCTGCCTTTGGCTCAGGTCATAATTCCAGGATCCTGGGATCGAGTCCTGCATTGGGCTTCCTGCTCCTCGGGGAGCCTGCTTCTCCCTCTGCCTCTCTCACCCTCTCTCTCTTTCTGTCTCTCATGAACAAATAAATAAAATCTTAAAAAAAAAAAGAAAAGAAAAGAAAGAAAGATCTGAGTGGAAGGGCCATCTCCGATCATTCTGAAAACATCTCTGTCATTTGAAAGCTCTGACTCCTCATAGGCAAAGGCCTGACCCCTTGACCCCTGTGGAACCAGCTTCTGGAAAGGTCGGTCATCAAAAGCTAAACTTTAGGACACACATTTCTAATTCGAGAAAACAATATGATGAGGGGAAAGAAAACATCAGCTATCTGATCACCGATGGCTTTTGTCATTACAAAACGCCTGCTTCTGTCCATCATCCACTTTCCTCCCCAACTCTGGAAAAAAGTCTTACTTTCTCCACTGCCGTCCTCGTCCTCATCCTCTTCATCATCGTCGTCGTCATCAGTGTACAAGACAGGCCCATCAGAGTCTGAGTCATTGGTCTGGTACTCCCTTTGGCCTTCGTCCTCAGGGGCACTGAAGGATTCTGAAGATTCTCCCAACAGCCCAGGAGTCAGCAGCTGAGGGGCTACCTTTTCCGGCTCATCTTTGGTTGTAAAACTGTTAAAGGCACAACAACACAGGGGGATGGGGGGATGGTGGCGTGAAGCTCAGAGCAGCCCTCCGGGACAACACCAACACCATGAGAGGGAGCTCTAGTTTCATGAGCATCTCTCAAGCTGGCAAAAGGAGAAAGCAAACATAGGCAGCTAGGGACAGTGAAATGGAATAGGACTACTGCAGGACTTCATTCTCAAGGTTTCAGATTCTTCATCTACAAAATGAAAAGGAATGACTAGATGATGTCTGATATTGATACATGATTTAGTACATGAATATGGTAAAACTAAATTTTGCAGATTGATTTTTCCATAGCCATGGGGCCTCAGTGGAAAGAACAGTGGACTAGAAGTTTCTGAATATTTGACTTGGTCTATCCTTATTCTGTACCTGTAACTCCTACTTATCCTTCAAGCCTCAGCTAAAGTCATAGCTTCTTCAGGAATCTTTCACTGGCCTTCCATCTAGATCCTTGCCCCACCACCCGGCCTTTAAGGTGACCAGAAGACAACTCTATGAGCACTTAGCACACTGCACCTCGACCGCCCTTCACTTGTCTGCCATCTCAGCCCTCAAAGCTCCTTGACAAGTGGGATTCATAGTGATTTGCAGCCCAACACCTAGAAGAGGAGTGACAGAAAGACACACCTTCTTTAGCTGATATATGAATTAATCCTATTTTCATCATAGCCAGTGTGTCAAGTCAAAAAATCATGTATCACCTCTGTGTTTTAGTTTCACCATTTGTAAAACTGCCTCTCACAGGAATATATTAGTAACGTGACATGGAAAAGGGCGAAGTTAAATGCACTCTTTACAAGACAGGTGATGTGAACGGATGCAATAATTTTCTATCAGTTAGCTTGGTAAGAGTCTCTGGCTTAAAGTTTCTATAAATAGACAAAGCCTGCCAATTTTCACAGACTAGAATAAGAAAAAATGTCACTGAAAACATATCGAAAACCTAGCATATCAAAAACAATGTAATATTCATTTTAAGATTCAGAAAATCCAGGATGCCTCGGTGGCTCAGTTGGTTGAGCAGCTGCCTTCGTCTCAGGTCATGATCCCAGCATCCTGGGATCGAGTCCCACATCCGGCTCCTTGCTCGGCGGGGAGCCTGCTTCTCCCTCTGCCTCTGCTGCCACTCAGCCTGCCTGTGCTCACTCTCTCTCTCTCTCTCTCTGGCAAATAAATAAAATCTTAAAAAAAAAAAAAAAGCCTATGTGTGTCAACTATACTCAAATAATAATTAAAAAATTAAAAAAAAAAGATTCAGAAAATCCCCAAATTGTCTTCTGATATAAATAGAGGCATCCAAATTTGGACATCACACTTCTGAAAGACCGTTTTGTGCAAACCATGTGCTTGCTGTTGCCATGAACTTGAAAAACCAAAAAACAGTTCTTTGAGTAGTAAAAACAGGTAAACGTCAGAACCTGAAGTCCTGAAAAACTGTACTTTGTGGTTATTGGTCCAAGCACTCTAAAAAATTTGCATTTATTAGAAAAATCCAACAGCCAAAATTCTTGTTTTCAAAGGGGAAACTATGCACGGCACATTATATTTATTTTTACTAAGTAAAATACACACAGCATAATATCTGCCATTTTGACCATTTTAAATCATACAGTCGAGTGGCAGAACATTTACACGATTGTACAACCATCACCACCGTCCATCTCTAGAACCTTCTCATCTTCCCAAACTGAGACTGACCCATTAAATAATAACTCCCTGTTCGCATCCCCTAGCCCCTGGAAACTACCATTTTACTTTCTGTCTCTATGAATTTTGCTATTTTAGGTGTTTTCCAGAAGCGAAATTATGCAACATCTGACCTTTTGTGTCTGACTTACTTTACCAACATGTCTTCCAGGTTCATCCATGCTTTAGCAGGCATCGTCAGAATTTCTTTTAAGGCTGAACAATATCCCATCGTGTCATATGCCACATTTTGTTTATCTACTCATCAGTCGATGAACATTTAGGCTGCTTCTACCTGTTAGTTGTTGTAATACTGCTGCTAAGGACACTATTCAAGGACCTACTTTTAATTTTTTCGGCTATATACACAGAAGGAGAATTGCTGGGTCCCATGGTAATTCTAGGTTTAATCTTTTGAGGAACCACCATACTGTTTCCACAGTGTGAGAACCATGATTTCCATGGTCCGGATTTTTGGTTGATTGCCACTGGAGGCCACCCTTGTTTAGCCAGCCTGGTACTGTGGGTGACCACAGCACATTTACTAGATGTAGCAATTAATAACACGTTCTGAAGAGCAGAACAAGAGATACTTCAGGGCTGAGCCTTGGTATTTGTTTCTGTCACTGCTCACTAATTTATTATGGTATCTATCATTATTTTAATGGCATCATCTGTATTTTATAATGTTTTGTAGTTTTCAAAGACTTCTGCCTACATTTACAGACTTAATCTGTTCTACAGTATAAGGGGATGGGTAAGTTACAGTTCACGGAACTTGAGAAGACCATGGGTGTGTTGCCCAAAACAAGGTATCAAGTCCAGTCTAGAACCCAGACTTAGACTCTTATTCTACCTATTAAATGTTATATTGTATTTTATACTTGACATTGTAACTTATAGTCATATCATATTATATAGATAATTAACATTAAATTACTATACTCCAAATTTGTGTCTATCCACTCATGACTTGTCTCTCATTTGCCCCCTAAATGTGTTGGGCACACGCGACAAAACAGCGAACTCAAGTGTTCGTGGAAATGAACTAAACGCAGTCGAGATCCCTTTGGATATGGCCTGCAGATGGGCTGCTTAGTGACTGCCTTAAATTATCCCAGACCTGTATGATACCAATGAAGCCGCCAATAAATAGAAATCTACCACACGGTTACTACCCTGCAATGTGTGAGTAGAGGAAGATATTTTTACACATAGCCACTTATCTTCTTTAAAGTTTTGATATTTGTATTCCAAACAGAAGCCTCTTCATAAGATGACAGGATTTTCACACATTCGTTCACTAAACATAACTGAGGGAAAGTTCTAAGTAAAGCAAGTGACTAAGAGCTAGAAATTCTAACTGAAATATCTACTTAAAAACGGAAGAAAGAATTTGGAAAAAAAAAATTTGAGAGACTACTTATTCCAGGCTCATTAAATCAAGAGCAAACAAACCACTCCTGTGGCATGAATTATAATTTAAATTTCAACTTTGAAGAACATACAGAGAAGGAAATCTCAATGCCCTCTTCTAAGAAAGGATTATGTTTATCTGGAGTGACAGGAAAATCTATATATAAATACCTCGATGTCTAATGATGTCCTAAGCTTGCTCTCTGATCATTGTTCCCATGGACATAGGGAACAGACGCTCGCCTCTTTTGTCTGACAATCCTGTGTGTACTTGGGCTGGAGACGGACATTAAGCCCCCCTCCTCGTGCAGCGCAGTGCTTGGCACAGTAGAGTCCCTTCCCTATAGGTCTGAGGAGGCGGGCTGGACAGAGTCAAGTCACCCTGGGATATGCGCTCTCTCACTGCCTGAGACTATCTAAGGAATCCCCTTGTTGTATCTTGTTCTTTGGTACACAAAATAATAAAACTATATATTCAATCTATTCAGACCTGCCTTAAACATTTGTACTTCCTGAGCAGGCTGGATATTATTTTGGTAACACCAGTTTAACTATAGTATCTTGGCCTTGCTTACTTTTTAAAAAAAGATTTTATTTATTTGATAGAGAGAGAGAGAGAGCGCATAAGCAGGGGGAGCAGCAGGCAGAAAGAGAGGGAGAAAAACGGTTCCCTGCTGAGCAAGGAGCCTTACGTGGGACTCAATCCCAGGACCCTAGAATCATGATCTGAGCCGAAGGCAGATGCTCAACTGACTGAGCCAGCCAGGCGTCCCATCTTGCTTACTTCTCTATCTCTGGTGCTGAGTACAGTGCCCAGCACATAGAAGGCAAGCAGGAAATATTTCCTGAAAGAATGATTTTTGAGTTCTGAAGGTTGGAGTTCAATGCAGTGCTGGAAAACCACAGTGTAATTAAATGAAGTCATTTGCTATGTGCTGGAGGTCTTAAGGACATCACAGCCATTCCTTTCAACGTCTTCTCCCATATTGATTACTAATGTGTCGAGTAAGTAAAATAATTTATAATTTAACATTTATCTTTCCTTGGCTTTCCTTCAAACCATGGTGCTCAAAATGATAAAAACAAAAACAAAAAGGAAACGAACACGAAAGAAATTGCAGAAGTAGAAGCAAGTGCTTTGGAAATGCATACAATTTCTTAGAGCATGGAATTTGCCATGCAGCTCTGAGCGTGCATTCTGACTTTGCTACTTACTAATTGGGTAATCTAGGGCAAACTATTTTCCCTCTCTCAGTGTCGGTTTTCTCATCTATTAAACAGAGATATTTCACGTAAGACTTATGTGAATTAATGATAACTGACAGTTCCTGACATTAAATAACTATTCAATAAATGAAGGTGATTATTATGAGCAACTGAATAATTAATGATGATTATCTCTTGGTCCAAGTCAACTTAATTAATGTACTATTTTTTAAGCCTAACATGACAAAGTTTTTTTTTTTTTTTTTAAAGAGAAAATATTAAATGATCACAAAAGTGAATTTTGGTTTTATTCTTAGAAACAGGAGAGGAGAGGTTGGGTTTAAGGTTGGATTTAAGAACCCTAAGACTTCTCCAGAAGTCTCCTATACTCTGACAGCTCTCCCTTCGTATCTGTGGGATAGAAGAGTTAGTATGTCTTTTTTGCCTTTATGGATAGGCCTTTGTGAGGGATTAGCTGCAGAGAATGAAGACGAATGAGAACCCTGAGGATGAATCCCAGGTTTCTGGCTTGGGTAACTGCATGATATCATGTTTATGGCATACCAGATTCTGTACTGGTTGCTGGGGATGCAGAGGCAAACAGATATGCTGCTTAGCTCTGTTCCATGGAGAGGAAAAAAAGGGTCGCCAGCATAGAGTACAGAATGCGACAACCAATTCTGTCTGCATGAGTGCTGAAATGCGTCAGAGAGGAGGTAACAGTGGAGTTGGGTGGGGAATTGAGGAAGCAAGAAAGGGGGCCCCTCTAAGCTGGGGGGAAAGGGATGGAATCCGAGAGTTCTTTCCTACTGGTCTTTATTTTCTTAGAGAAAGAAAAGGCTAAATGACTTGTAATGAAGGTAGGCAGGAACGGGTGACCCATCTGGACACAAGTAGTAGAGACTTAAAATAACCACTGTAAGGAAAGAAAAGGGAACTGTCCAGGGAAAAGAAAAGGGATTGCTGAACATTGATGAAACAGGCTCTGATCTACTCGAAAGCCACAGATCTGAAGTGGTACCTGCCAGTAGGACTGATGTCATCTTCTCCGGTAGCCTATGACATTCCTGAGGCAGGCTATGAAAAACCAAAGGCTGGATGATATAGGTGCTTACCTAACAATCACTAGGTTAAATTGTAAAACAAAACCAAGTAGGTTCATTTCCAATAGAGTGGTTTAGTGATCTTTAGCACCCAGTTGCACAGGGGATACAGACGGAATATGGGGTTTATGCCCCCGACTCACCATTTTGCATTTTCTCTGCTAACACTTAAGCCAGGGCCTGAGAAGACAGTGGTTCTGTTGGTGGGCTCTTCGGTCCAGAGAAGCTGACTTGGGTCTAAGGCAGGGACGGGCAGGTCAGCTCCATCACTGACCAGGACAACAGGAGTGTCTGAGGCAACAGTGCACTGCTCCTCATGAGGAAGAGGAGGGGCGGGGGGAGAAGGTGGTGGAGCCACAGGAGGTGGGGGGACTGCAGACTTAGATTTGCCTGTGGTCTGCTCCTCGGTCCCGGGGACAGTCTGCTCAGGTTTGAGACTCTCCACCCTCATCTCAGAAGGTTCTCCTTTAAGGTCGGACATGCCAGACGTGGTTGCATCCGAGGACAATCGAGAGGTTGGCTGCTTGCCAGTTTTTTTCTTGCCCTTTGTGATTCCCACTGTCCCTGTTTTGCTAGAAAGTGTCTCCTTTGAAGCTTTGGGACGAGACGAGGTGGAGGAAGTAGATGGTGAAGCTGATGCTTTGGACCCAGTTGTTTTTTTTGAATGAGAGGAACCAGCTAAAACAGAGAGAGTTTGCGTTAAAAGTCAAAGAAGCCTTTTAAACAAACAAATGAGTTGCAACTGTCAATTATGATGCTCCCTTTAAAATGTTAACATTTGTCAAATAAAAGGAAATAGGCTAATAAGGATAATGGTTTTATTTTCTGCCTCCTCCTTACCCGGAACCTAGGAGGGAGCCAATGATGATGAAGGCAAAACTGTAAGGGACAAGAGTCCTCTCCTATGGAGACTGAGGAGTCCCTCTAGTTTTTCTGGCTGCACCAGCCAAGGGGAAGTCCTCAGCTGCTGTCTTACAGGTCATCTGAATGAGTCCCTGTGTACCCCAAAGAAGGGACATCATAGTGTATAAAGGATAGACAGCAGCTGTCTGGTTAGAGTGCCAGGTCGGGCTCATCACAAATTCTCCAAGTTCAATGATGCTTTTTGGGAATGGAGTGGCCCATATTCAGAATGGCCAGGGTATATCCCTCTGGCTCCTTTCTGGACCAAAGGCAAAGGTACTCAATTCAAAACCAGTTATCCCCATGGCTCCAGAGAAAGAAGCCTGACATGCCGGCCCATACCTCCACCTGCAGTGGCGATGGGGCAGAAAGAAAACACATGGCCACATCAGAAAGACAAGTCCCCTTCAAAATATCAAAAGGCAACTGGGTGATGGGCATTAAGGAATGCACTTCAGGTAATGTGAACAGGGTGTGATATGTGACTGATGAATCACTAAACTACCTTTGAAAAAATAATACACTACATGTTCATTAAATTGAATTTAAATTTAAAAAACCCAAACCCACAAAATATCAAAAGGCAGAAAAAGTTATTATTTTTTTTTTACAGAAAATGTCTACATGGGTAGCACTGGAATAATTTGAAGGGAAAGAGTGTCATTCTCAGATCTTGTGGGACAAACACCCTCACAAAGCCAATCTTCCTTAGCACTTCTGTTCCTAGACGGTCTTCGTCAGAGAATGGTTGTGGCCACTAGAAGGTATTTGCCTGCTTTTGGGTAGGACTGCCTTCAACCGAACCATTTTCAGGGAAAAAAAAAAAAAGCGCAACTGTTCTTTATATCATTTTGGCAAACACCTTTAAAATCCTGTGAGAATGTCTTCTGTTTCATGACCTGTATGATTTATAAATTTCTCCTAATTGCTTTTTCTGTTGTAATGTTGTACGTTCCTTCTTTTTCATGAGGGGTTAAACCATCCTCCACAGAACTCTTTCAGAATACCTTGTTATTACGGTGGAGCCAATCCACAACACATGTTATGATTACTTACCTTTACTGAAGTCAGCTGGGGGAGGGTCAAGAGGTGAAGAACGAATAAAGGAATAGACAATGAGATAGAAGACTTCATCAACTCTGATATACTAAAAAAGAGTGAGTCTCATTTGGTGACAAAATCCAGACTTAAAGGATATCTTTATGGCTTGGGGGCTTTATAATTTTAGATACACACAACTGGAATTCATACTATCCCAAGTCTGGGACTGCTCATATTACTTCTTTCAAGCTAACAATCTTCACCTGCTAATAAGACAAGGGTATTCAGCATACTTCTACAATCTAAGTCCATTCTAAATTTATTTTTCACAACAAAGATCTAAGGATTTGATGCCTAAATACATTCAATTACTTTTGTACGTAAATTGACCAGAATCCCTTTTGCACACCCATATGTATATTAATGTGGATTGTATATATTTTTTAAGACAACTCTTTCTTTTCTAACAGCAAAGTTAACTTCAGCTCGACTTGAGAAAAAAAGACAAATTTTTTAAATGGTTGGGGTGGAGCTTCAAGTCACACTTCTCTAGATACTTTAAGTTTCTTCTAAAATGACAAGACTTGGCTGAAATCAACCATGTTGCTTAAGCTACCTTGAATTAACGCCAGGATTAAAAAAGTAAAGCCACCTCTCCTCAGTTAAATACTTCCGTTGTTAACACAGTGTGTAACAATGAGAAAGAAAAAAAAAATACAGGAGATTTGACCTTACTTCACTCACAAAGCAGCTGAATGTGCTAAGCCGGCCTCTGGTTATCTGGGGGTCTATACTAACTGAGGAACTGAAGAAGAATCCTAACTGACAGCTTTTATAAGAACTGAAACATCTGACTAAAAATCATGAGCTGCATTTTGAAGTAACTTTTCTCAAAGGACATTATTCAAATAAAATGTAGAAAGTTCTAAATGATTAAAAAATGGAATATCAGTTGGAGTCTGAAGGAGTACTATCAATATTTGATAAAAGGATTCTTGCACATCAGGCTTATTGGTATAGCTCAATGAAACCCCTGTTTATCCGGGACAGCCTGAGAAGAGAGACACTGTTATTCACACCATCAGCCAGTGGGGCCTTATTTAATACAACGGATAATAATGTGACTGTATAATTCTCCTAGGAACATCGTGGGCCCATAAATAAACCTTCAAGTAAAACATCTGGCTGTAACTCAAAATCTCTCATGAAAGCTGTCCCCTGCCCTGACATTAATCACCAGCTTTCTTCTGAGAGAAGTGAGAGGGTCCAAGGCAAGGCCATAGCGAGCCACTGCCCTATGGGGCAGGACGAAGTGAGTAAGTCTGTGTAATGCCCAAGCATGGGGTGATTGTTTGGGGCTCTTCTTTAAGAAGTGGATCACTGCCTGTCTCACTTCAAGCACTGCTCCTCAGGTCTGCTAGGCATTCTGGGAAACACAGTGATGCCGACAAAAATGGACACAGGGCCATTGGTACCTGAGGAGATGGCCCGTGGGCACTATAAGTACAGTGTTCTGAGACATTTCATTTCAGAGCTCATTAGAAGATACCAGACACTCGAGGTCAAAGGCCGAAGAGAGGAGCACAGGCAAAGAAACATCTATTTGCATTTGGCGGTCTGCTATACCATCAAGTGAGCCATTTTCTGAGCAGTATGGGTATAAATGATGGGGGGAAAAGGATCAACATGAAGGCATATCCTGGTAGCCAAGTGCAAGAAAGTTACTGATTTTGATACTGATTTTACGGAAAATATAGTTTGCTACAACATGGGGGAACGTGAATGGAAAAAGTCATTCAGCATGTACACTTTGATTATTGTCTCTTTACAGCTGGACGACATGGTAGGCTTCTTTATGCCACATGACTAGAAGATTGGGAGCTCCACTCTGCACTAAGCATATCTGATTTGAAAGGAAAGCTGGACAGGTATTACATGTTGTTTGTAGGTCACTCAAACATACCCCCGGGACATACAATAATGACTTGTTAACTACATTGTAGGATGTTACTCCTTATAACACATGGGAGTCTGGGGATGAGGTGGACAGTGAACACTAAGCATGTGACTTTCAACTTGGATGAAAAAGCTGTGATTCCAGTAGAAAGTGGAGGGGTAGAGCTGGACTGAGTGATATGAACTCTTTGACATCTGTCAGTAGAGAAATAAATATGTATGCGGAAGGATTTAAGATACTCAGATCCAGCAAAAATATCAATGATGTGTCATATTCTGATATGCAACTTAAGATATTTTAGAGGAAAATCCAAGCCAAAGAGCCACCCATAAACTCCAATAGGCAGAAGGCCAGACGACTGTAAATAATGTGATATCAGATCACATATCGCATTCATCAGGCACACTACACCCTGAATCCTTCTACTGGTTCTTAGACAGACAGTGGATACTTAGAATGAAAGAGGTCTATTCACCACAAATATAATGAGGTCAACTAATCAACTGGTTGACTTTCCTTCGGTAGAGGCAACAACAAAGGAATCTCCTGGGTATTCTCAAGTGAAATCCACTGGTGGTACATTCTAAGACACCAAAAAGGTCACCGTTAGTAGAAAAAGCAATGAGCCCCACCCCAGAGCCAAACACCCTAGACTCCAGCCCCCAGGGGGCATACTCACCAGCCTCTCGGGTCGTGTTTCGGCTTGTTGGCTTGGGTGGAGGGATGGGGGCCTGCTTACCGGGCGCCTTGGTAATTTTTTTAATAGGAGGCACTTCGTCACCCTTGGGGCTGACCCCGGCGGCAGCCCCTTTTGGAGGCACAGGTGTTTTTTTGGGCTTAGGTTTGGGTTTAGGCTTAGGAAGAGCTGGAGGAGATGGAACAGGAGCTGCCGGTGTTTCAGAGTGGTTTTCAGTGTTCTCTACAAATGAGAAAGTGAACAGAAGCAGACTGATACAGACACACACCATATAAACAGAAGGAGCAAGACATATGGCGACAGTGATACAAACACACGGCTGCTTGGCCCTTTGGAACCAGCGTGGTGTGCCATAACAGGGAGAGCACAGTCAGGGGCACAGAGGATCAAATGTGCACAGGCTGAAAGCCAAACTGCGTGCATTATCAGGGTACACAAATCATTTCTGCGATCAAACAGGGTCGCACAAGTGACTGTGATGAAGTTATTTGAGGACGAGTGTCAATATCCACCGTCAGGGGCCGACACGAGCCATGAATCAGTGGCTGCTGGATATGGGCCTGGGCAGGAGTGCTAAATTTAAATTTAACAATACTGAAGGATGCTGAGAGTAGCAGGTCAGCGCACTGTGCATAACGCCAGGAGGACTGACAGGGAAGCAGTGACTGGACTCCATTACCTTTATACCCTTGGTGCAGGGACTTTCTCTCAGGAGAACTCATGCCCCACCAACAGGAAAGGGATTTGAGTGCTGTCTCAAATTATGGTCAAAAATCAATCATATTCCATGCTAAGGAAGACTCTGTAGACTCTTTTCCAGGAAGCACAGTGCACTGATGAATAAACTAATTTCTACCATTAAAATTTTCTTAGGCTCTCACAGTGCACAAGGGCAGCTTCCTGTTTTCCAGTAAACTTCCTCTGACCTTTTCAAACAGTATCACAACCCCAGGTACAAAGGGTGCAGAACTCCCCAAAATACCATACTGGTTTTGCAATGTAAACACAAGTAACAATTTTGAAAAGACAAGGGCTGAAACTCATTAAAAAAAATTCATACCGAAGAACAGAAGCCTTTCACAAGATTTTGCCTAACTGGAGGAGAAACAGTCTGTCTCTCGTTATGGGAAGCAGAGACGCTGAATGTTCATTCATGTACTCACATCCGTATTGTTTCTAATGGTGGATGATCGAAATTAAAATAAATTAAGATACAGTTCTGGTCCAAAGAGCTAAGCAGCATCTCTTTAAAAATGGAACACAATTAAAAAAACAAAACAAAACAAAACATCAGACAGTGTTAAGACAAGACTAATAGGCCTCTACTGGATCTAATCTCCCATTACTGAATGACCAGAAAGGATGTGAATATCAGAATGCATTACATTTTATTAGTATGTCTTTTGTTTCAGTTCTCGTTGTAGTGAGTGCAAGTGACAACTGCCATTTTTTTGACTGTATCCCCTCAATCCACATAGATAAGTAATATAAGAATGATCCAAGTTATAGTACGTAATCAATAAAGCTTTTCTTTTATTTTCCCCCAGCCGTGAAGCCCACTACAGTCCCCTTCTGCCCCTAAACTTACTGGTATTTATGGTCTGAGTTGCTTGTTCAGTATTTACTGGAGGCTACTTTGTGTGTGTACCTTTCTGGTTACATATTGTATCTTTTTAACTAAGTGGTGAGTCTCCTAACCTCCCTGGTCTGAACTGGAAGGCCACTGAGTCACAAATGTCAATTAGCTTAGAGAACAACAGAAGTTGAGGCCAAAGATAAATCATTTCATTTTAACATAAAACATACAAACCTATGTTGATCTGTCAGTCTTTATGATGTGGGGCAAATACCTCTCTCTGTGACTGTCTGTAAGATCAGACAGCTACATACACACAGAGATCAAGCCCGATGATACTGCCCAAGGTGGGAACCCATCAGACACCTGCACCACTGGGAACCCCAATTTTCTTTCCTGCTACAAACCCTCACAGGTCTTAGCCTGTCCTCACAGGCCTATCATTGAGCTCTTTCTTCTTTCTGTCTAAGGTTTCAAATTCTAAAGCTGCCTCCCAAAGAATGCAGTTTCTGGGCTTGGGAGGGAGGACGTGTTCACTCTATGACAGTTGGGAGTGACGATCCCAACTAGGGGAAAAGTGAACACGCTGTGTGCAAGTTCCTGGTGTTTGTGGACAAGGACCATCCACAGCCCCATCCTCTGCGACCTCTACCAATGCTGTGTGTGTGTTTGCCAAAGAGCGGATACTTAGGTCTACTCTGTGGAGAACCCTAGGTTGGTGTGTGCGTCCCTGTGTGCCAACAGTATGCTCTTCTGACTAAATTATAAATTCCTTTTGTCAAAAATGTCACATCCCATTAGACACAGGGCTTTAAACACGAGTCTATTCAATGAACGAGACTGGCTGATGGTTACCATCAGCACACTGGGAGAAAACAAACTCTCTCCTTGTATCCGAGAGTTAATGAATGAAGTCTTTATATTTTTCAGTACCATATGACCTGAGCTATGACATAAACTGATGGCGTCTATGAGTATTATCTTCTCAAAAGAAGGTTAAGGAAGGGCTGTCTAATCATGCTGGGCTGACACAGATACTATGCTTTAAAACAGTACGTCTAGAGGACAGCTGTTTCCTATATGATGGCTCCTTCCATCAGATCAACACTTAGAACTAAACGGAGAGCAGCGCATGGCCCCCGCTTTGCCGGGAGAGCACCTCTGCCCCAGTTCCTCTCCTTCACCTGACCACCTCTTTGTCTCCTTCAGATCTCAGTTTGGAAATATCTCCTTCTAAGAACGAAATTTGGTCCCCACTGCAAGCTTTCCTGGCTCCATGTGCTCATGCCTTTCATACTTTGAATCTTGCGTGGCGATCGCCTATTCGCATGCTGGGTCCCGCAGGCCGCCATCTGTTTGAAGTCAAAGACCATTTCTGACTCACCACTCTTCTCCTGGCCCCAGCAAATCCTACCCATGGAAGGACTTCATTATTATTTGTTGAACAAATGCATGTAAGTCACTTGTTACTTCATGGAAAGCTCGCTATAACACCTCAATAGATAGAATATCAAATAATTTTCAGATTTCTTAGATTTAATACCAATGCATGTATCACAGATTGCAGATCAGCTTTTCTTATATATTTAAAGGCACTTCCTGAGAAGGAATAATGGGAGACTGGAAGCCCTGAAGGTTTTAAGGGAAAAGTCTCCAGTGGTAGGCAGAGGAGGTCCCAGACCACTGCCCCAACTCTGGAGGCCAGTGTCGTCCGGAGCCCCAGGAACCGGCAAGGGTCCTAGGTGGAACGTGCACACGGTGCAGTATATGCGCATCTGCCACTCGTTCTGTTTTCTTTGAAACTGAGGGTTCCGTTATTAAAGTACTGACATATTACCTTACAAACAGGTACAGGCATTTGGGAGTTTAAGGGTTTGAGATACGCTTTTGCAAACATAAGCAATTAACAGATGAAATAACGCTCTTGGATAAACTGGCTTAATTGTGAAAGGAAAGGGAGGATTTCACCCCCTGAAAGGGAATTAAGAACACCCAAAGGGCTAATTAAGAACATGGGATTGTGGATTTGCTTGCTGGCAAGACCATGAAAGGGGCAGAAGTAAAAGTGAATCTTGGGCTGTTTTGGAATTTAACGGTGTCTTCCCAGAGAAATAAGTGCTTGTCTTTGTTTATGAGGTATTTTCTATTTCCCATTATACTGCGTACTGTTTGAGGTCTGAAAGACACTTTGCTGACGCTCAGGAAGTGGCTTCCCCACCAAATGTCTGCCCTCGCTCTGAGTGTGGCTGCACCAGGTGCACCGTGCCTGCAGTCAGAGGGAGGCTTTGCTGCCATACTGGTGGTGTGACAGCATGTCCAGCATTCCATCTCTTGACACACCCACCAGCCAAGCAAGATGCTATCTTGCATCTTGTTTGACCAAAAAGAGCCAAATGTACTAATTCCAAGTAAAGAATAAGAAAACAAAAACACCTCTCAAATATCCATGGACCTATGACTATGAGGTCTCCCATCTTTTTAGAACATCAAGGCTGCTGGTTTCATTAACATAAAACTGTCAGCAACTTTTTATTAAGCTGATAAGGGAAAAACTTCCTTTGAAGCTTGGCCGGTCCACTGACTGATATCCCACATGGACCAGGCAAGCATTAATGATGGCACCATTGTGTAATGAAGGGTGTGATTCTTGAATGTGAAAAGGCCGTACCAGGGACAAACCACAGATGGGTCTGAAATTTAACAGTCTGGGTGAGACAGGACAGTTGGACTTAAAAAAAAAAACAAAACAAAAACAACAAACCCACTAATTGCATGAATACTTTCAAATTAATCCCACTGAAATCTATTTAGGTCTCTTTTCTTTTTATGTTCCAGGAATATGATTGTTAAAAATGTTAGCTAATTTCTTGTAATCAGTATTTGTAAGTTTAACCAGAGTCCTTCAATAGAACAAGACCAAGGAAAGCCCCATGAATACTATACTTAATGTTGAATAAATAAAGCAAAATAATAAATTTCTAACAGATTGTTCATAGAGGCTTCTAAAATTTTTACAGGCAAATATATATGCAACTAGGGGGTTACAGACTTCCAGAGAAGACGATTTTAAGTTACAGTGTCTGTCAAGTGCTCTTTTGTTTTCTTTGTCTTTAGAGGACTTGGGTCAAGAACAGAGGAAGAGAAGTTTGCTTTCAGCACTTTCTAAGAATTCTCACAATGCCTACAGAAGGTAAGCTAGGTCTGAAAATTTTTGCCATCCAACTCAGGGGCAGACATTACAGAACAGGAAACAGTCTGTTTCCTGAGGAGTCATTTCTACACTGCATGGAATCATCTAGAATTTTCCAACAAATCCTTACTTTGTATGGGTTTCAATTCTGATTTGCATTAAGTAAAAGGCTTGGAGGTTCTTGCACGTGACAGAAGTCTTAGGGAGATGTAATCAATCAATCAATCAATCAATCAGTGACCAGAAACTTGTAAAATATTTTGAGAGGTCCTTGATAGACACAGATTTTGCAGGTAACTTAACTGACCACAGCATATTCATTCTAGAAACCAAGGTCTTTAAAGAAACCTTTGGGGAATGGCATAACTGCCCCTGGCATATTTTGAAACTTCCAACTGCACAGATAAGTCATGAAGCTGAGGCTGTGGTCAATACAGCAACCAAAGTCTCCCGCATCTCTGGCAACTGTCCCTCTCTCAGAAACATCTAGAACATCTAGAAACCATCTAGAACCTGGATTAGAGCCTATAATATCAGGGGTATGGATGCCATCAGCCAAGCCCCCACGATTGGAGAGAAGAGGCTGGGCTGAAAGAGCCATCTTTGTTTTGATATTCCTCCATCCCTCTACATTGACATGCTCACAAAGGTCACTTCTAACTAGTAGAAGATTTTCAGACTGGTGGCATTTTTTTTTCTAAAAATAAGAGAAAATAGTGAGGGAAAGCTCCTGAGGAAGGGATAATATTCCCAGCTATCTCTAATGACTGAAGAGGCTATCTGCTGATTACTGTTAATTAATGCTTCCAAGTAAAAGATTAAAGGATATACTCACAAAATGGATGCATCTACTTGAGAAAACCACTCTATTTCTCTTCACTCGTTGTAATTTCTCTCTTCTTTGTATTTGCAAACCTCTTCCCTAACTGGTCTTAAGAGTCACTATCCGGAGCCTAAGACCTGATTCTCAATGTTGAGCTGTATTGACGTAAAAGAATATGGAGTTTCTCTTGATTTTACCTTTCTTATCTTCTGCCTTCTCCTCCAGAGGTGGCGCCTTTTCAGCTACAGAGCCATTACCTTCTTCAGATTTTACTATATTTTCCTCTCGGGTAGATTCCTCTCCGATGGGTATCATGTGCCCGTTTGAATTTTCAAAGTTAACTGTTACATCTCCATCTAAAATGGGGAAAGAAACACCTAGATGTCTAATTTGATGGCTTTCTTAAAACCCAGTTTTCCAGCTACTAGGACTATAGGGTTTGGGTTCATGTTTCAGACCCTGGGAACCAAATACATCCTACACCATTTCACCATGTTTTACTTAATAATTCATTCCAACGAAAGAGCTAGAAAATCCTTAGTCTTGGGGAAAAGCAGCAATGGAGGGGATATCCCCATGCCCTTTTGGGACAGTAGGGATTATTATCCTAATTATACAATATCCCTGGGCAACGGAACCCTTTTCTCTTCTTGTACTTAGGCTTTGTTGAAGTCAGTACTTAGGAGTCTCTCTGTCATTCACAAACTGAATGGTAAAAGGAGAAATCTGAAAAATGGAATAAACATTTTAACAAGCAGTGAAAACACAAGGTGAATATAAACACAAATAACATGAAATGTAATTTGACATACAAATGCTTAGAAGAAGGATATGAAAATTTACAACCATCTCTGTCTCACATGATTGCATCTGTTATATGGTAACTTTACACAGGAATATAACTGCCACTCTGTATTCAGGGAAAGATGGTAGCGAGAATAATTTTATTTTCATTTTCTTGTTGATGGACATATTAAAATGTACTCAGGTAATTGTTACATATAACAGGCCAAAAGCCTTTAACGTGGCCTAATCATAATCTGGAAACATTAGGGAAAAAATGTGGGAAAAAAGTAATTACAGAGGAACTTTTAAAAAATCACAAGTGAAAATAAAATTTCTAGTATGTTACCTAAATCAGAAATAACTAAATTTAATCCCTGAACTTCCATAATTTTTAGAAGTTTCTAAAGTGAATGAGATTTTACATAAACTCTTAATTCAGTGATGTTTGAAAAGAGCAACCCTAGATCATATCTGGAACATTTTAAGAGGCTTTGCTACCTCTGTAAAAAATAATAATAATAATAATAATAACGAGTTAAAGTTTTGACTTTGCAAAATTCAAGAAATTCATGATCAGACTATTTTTATGCAGTCTTTGATTAATCTTATTTTGGCAATCATTATAAATAAAAAAGAGGCCATCTCTCAAATTTCCATTAAATAGGATTGAACTGCTTGGGCTCAACATGAAATCCATTGGCCTTGTCCATAAAAACAGGCACGACATTTTAATAAGAAAAATATGTATCATGGAATTTTGTCATGCTCAAAATGAAAAATGTATTGCTGAGCCGTGCAACTTCCAAGTACCTACAATCTGATTCCCTTATAAAAATAAAATAGATAATAATTGAGGGCAATGCCATTATAAATCTTAACTATTTCAATAAAACTAAAGTAATACTTTTTAATGAGTATAGGTCAAACCAAAGGGAAACCAAAAGATTCTTAATTCTTATTATTAGATCCCAAGGAATTCGATATTAAAAACAAGGGAGGGGAGACACAATGCAATGTCCAGATATTAGACACGGGAAAACTGAAAGCTAATGGAAGAATGGAAAATTCCAAATGAAAGAGAAAACCACTTCTTTATATATATATATATTAAAAAAGAAAAAAAAAACCCTCAATTTTTAGGCAACCCAAATATAAATTTATCTCTGGTTACCCGGTCTTTAGTTGATAACAAAAACACGCTGAAGTCATGTTAACATGACTTATTACATTATATTAATTATATTTTAACCCTTATTATGCTTAAATTCTTCAGTAGGTTAAATAACTTATTTTAAAATCTAAAACAAAAAAGATAGAGAGAAAATTAAATAGTCATGGTACAAAAAGAAACTGGATTTTCACATAATAGAATCAACAATATAGAAGATACTTACTTTGAGGTCTGAAATAAAGCTAGCCCCTATGAAAATAATGGTAGAAAAAGGAGACCGATACGTGATAAATATAAATTGAAGAATAAAACAGAGAACTGAAGTTATTAATAATTAACTGGTGTGTGCATTGAAAAAGTTTTCTCATTTTGTGCATAATGGTAGAGTCAAAACAAGCTGAGTCCTTGATATAGTTTATGTATGTAGGTAAAATGCACAAACACCTGCCAGCAAAGGAGAGCAAGGGGAGATGCTGAGGTTCTAAGGAACAGGAGCCCTCGCATGCAAAGGAAAAAGACAGCTCAAGCAAGGTGGCAGGCTTCAAGTGAACAGAGATAAAGCACACACAGACATCAGTGGTGAAACAAGGAGAAGGAAAGTGTTTGGGGGCCTCCCCTTTTTCTGGTCAAATGCGTGTAGCTGGGATACAGTTAACAAAAAAAAAAAAAGAGAGAGAGAGATGAGGAGAAAGTTGTGTGTGACCACACAGTGAGTGACTTATCAGAAGGTTAAAACATACACTGTGGGAGAGAGAGAAAGGAGGCCGTACAGCAGGCAGGAACATCTCCATGCCCTCCTGTTAAAGCTATGGGAAAAGATGGAAAGAAAGAATCAGAAAATAAGGAATGAACTTGGACTAGACCTGGGAATTCTCAAGAGAGAAGACCAATTGTTGAACGTTTAGATGGAAGTTAGAGGTTAGTGTAAAAAAGATCATCTAAAAGGAGTATTAATAAAAGCTGGGAGTGAGGGTATGGGGAGGGATGGGATGAGGTCAAACCCAGGGCAGCTGGAGGGATGGAAAAAGTCTATCTGGCTCCTGAATAAAGGATATAATTGACAATAACTGTTAAGAGCGAAGGCAAGGTCAGGAAGATCAAGGCAAAGAATGCACCTTTGCTGGCAGAAGACAGGAGGTTGTCACCAAACACAGCAGTTTCCAGTCTCTGACTAGAGCTGAAAACAGACCGAAATTCTCAAGATAATTTTGGAGAAATGACAGAAAACTTTTCTCCAGCCCCTGGCTGAAAAGGGGAAAGACTCTATTTACAATAGGCATCACCAGGAACTTTCAAGGATTAGGTCATTTCTGTAGTTCCATACAGGGACAATGAAAAAGACAGAAAGTAAAATTCAGTAATTTAGGACTTCCCTAAACATTAAATCTGTGACATTTTGTTTAGGTGAAAAACCGTTTTGTTTTTATGTTTTAAAACTTTTAATGTTCAGTCTGCAGAAGTTACCAAAATGTCAACTAGAGTCAGAATTCTGGGAAGTAAGCATCAGAGACTGTAACCCATCAAGTAAATAGTTTAACAGATTAGGCAGAATGAGAACCAATCAATACCAAGCATTTCTTTAAGTTGCCCACTGTCACTTGTTTTTAGAAAAAATAAGCTCTTTTCTAGCTATAATTTTTAATCAGGTAAAAAAGGGGTCTTTAAATCTCTATCTTTCATACTCATTAACAATTTCAACAATAAATTTTCACATTCTTCCTTTCTTTAAACAATTTCCAAATAATTGATACCAAACAATTGCACTGGCCCACGCAGGAGGTGACTGCTTGGAAAGGTGATTGCTCAGTGGATCTGTAATTTCTCTCCTGCCTCCAGAGAGATTAAGGGGGAGACTAATTTGATGCTGCAAGCCCACCCTCCACGAACAAAAAGTTAGGGGTGTGCATTTTTTTTTAATCTTTAAAATTCCCAGACAGGAAATAAATAGTTTCACGGTAATAGAAAATTAAAGAAGACATAACGTTCATTCATAAAACAGAATGAGAAAAATATAATAGGCCAGCGATGAAATAAAATGCCTAAATTGTGAGGGCTCAAGAAAAATTGCATTATTCACTCTAGATTTCCCTATATTCTTAGAAACAGCAGTAAAATAGTAAAGCATTTCCAACCCTCACTCTACAATTATTGAGATGTTGGAAAAAGTGTGTCATTTGGATTTATAAATAGTGAATTCCAAAAGGTGTTCTTTGCAAAGAACATTTACCAGGAAAAGAATTCTGTGATTTTAATTCCGAATTAATAGCACCACATTTGTTCCCTTGAAAGTACAGTAATACTACTTTATCCCAGTAAATGTCCAGGGGGTGGGGCAAGGGAAGGCATGAGGTAAATCAACAATTTTGCAACAAAAATTTCCTTTAGTTTTAAGAGTAGGGAGAGCAATGAAAATTATTTGGTATTACTTATTTAGAGAAATAACCATTCTTGGTGTCTTCTTCTGAGGGTCTATCTTGGTTTCTATGTAAGCCTTTTCTTTTTGAGCAAGATTCCCTCTTGGGAGGATAGGGGAAAAGGGGGAAGAAGATTAGGGGTAGGGGAAACAAAATGCTTAGAAATAATAATTGTTAGTGCAACGGTGAAAGGCATTTAGATACAAAGAAATGAAAAGAGAACAATACTAGGAAAATTACTTGAGAGAACGCATAAAGCAGATTAACTTAATTTGTCCATTTGTGCCTTATTGATTGTACATTTAATTGTATTATTGAATATCAAAAACAAAAGATAAGTTTACTACTTTTTTCTCCTTTTTCTTTTCCTGATAGGCTTATGACACCAAAAGGCAAGAGCCAAGTAATAACACTGCATTTACTCAAACAACTGAGTTAACGTGTATAGAAAGAAGGAAGCTTTAGAACAGAAGAGGAGTCATAGAAGCATTTGTATCTTATCTGTATCTTCAGCCCATACCTTTGTAGAGCTTTAGGGTTAGTAGCAGATAGTGAAGGACTTGCCAAAAAGGTCACTGAATTCCTTTTCTAGAAAATCTTAGATTCTCCGTAGCCCACAAAGGCATTCTGAATTAAAGCAAGATTTTCAGAGTGCTGTACTCACTGCTTTATCTCCCAAAGACCATGAGCATCTTAAATTCCAAAAGAAAATGAAAGAAAGACCAAAGAATAAAGGATCAAGTTATTTTAAATGTATGATTAATTTCCTCACCTTGATCAGGCAACTCCTTAAGAACGCCCCTTCTTATCAGCTCCTCTCTACTTTGTCTTGTGGATATCTTCCTTTCTAATACTTTTAAAAAGAATAAGCATGAGTAAGAATCAAGTCATTGCTTAAAATAATTCTGAAAAACATTTCAAGTAGAACTGAGCACATATTCCGTTCACCCGAGGGCTCAACCCCCGTTTTTTTGAGTTGTCTAGCAAAACTCATGGTTGGAGTCAACCGAACTCAGACAAGAGCAAAGGACGGCAGCCAGTGCTCTGAAAACCCAGCCTCTGCACCTGACCCTTCCAATGATGATGTTGGGCCAAGAAACCAGACACATTATTTCATATCAGCTACAGAGCAGAAAGGTTACTTCTCACTTTGAAATATTCCCTTTTTTAGGCATTCTAAAACACAGGCCTCAGTGAATATGCAATGTATACAAAGGATACATATACTTACATTAAAACCAAACAGACAGACAAATGTTCAGTAGATATTCAGGTAACTCATCTGAATCCCAGAGAAAAGGGACTATTTTCCAGTGTTTTCTCTCTCACACCATCTATCACGAAAGTCCAACACATCAGCTCTCTGTAACTCTCTTCCTTGCCATACTCAAAAGGTCTAGCATGTTCTGGTATATCCCCCCAACAGATCCCAAGGCAGGAGGACAGAGTGAATTCAGGCTTTCACGGGCATGTCGAGAGAGATGGGGATCTCAACAATGCCTCTTCCTTCTTCTGGAAGAATTTAAATTCCTGCTACAAGTTCAGAATGGTGCTTAGGAGCTTAGGGTGGGACTTTGATAGCATTTACCTTATATACATATGTAATATTAGTTTCCTGGGTCCTGCATGTCTAACTCTACCCCCCACTTTGAGGGGCCAAGGTGGTGTGTAAAATTAATATCATCTACTAATCCTCTGAGCCAACACTGTCCGAAAGGTGTTCTGGAAACTTCTCTTCCTTCTAGATGACCTGTTGGAAAAAGCACCTTGACACAGCAGAAAGGGGCCACAGAAAGGGCCTAGGTCTCTTTAGGGAGAAGGAAAGGCACATTGGTGGAGACTTGGTAGACGTAGCAGGACTGGATTCTGATTCTCCCCACAGTTCCCATTTCTGGCCTCAGAATTTGCAAATTCTAGAGCCACATGTACAATCATTTCAAGATCTAAACTAAACCCCATTATCCCAGGCCCTGCCCTGGCACATAAAGACAGTGCTTATAATGACACTAACAACCTGTTTTTGGGGGTGCTCCAGGCAGTCTGAAGCAAGGACACTTCGAAGACAGAGAGGAGTAAAAAAGGGTGTGCCTTGGCACGAGAGCTTTGTATGAAGCACCTGAAAGTCTTCGGTAAAGGCATGAACCCCAGAGTCCTAAAGCTTAGTCTTTCTTGAAGAAATTGAAATTTTTTTTTTCCTTTTCTGACAACTAGTAATTGTATATTCCCCCTTTTGTCTTGGTTGCCAGAAAGGTCAGAGTAACATTTGATATTAACATAGATTTCATATGGCAATTCATGGATGATATCCGTTCCCTCCTTTTTAGAGACCTGACTTCATTTGTATTTAATTTCTAGCATACGTGCTCTTTGTTCTCGGTTTTGCCCAACACATTTTGTGGATAGAATAGAATGGAGGGGTGCATGGGTGGCTCAGTGGGTTAAAGCCTCTGCCTTTGGCCCAGGTCATGATCCCAGGGTTCTGGGATCAAGCCCCGCATCGGGCTCTCTGCTCAGCGGGGAGCCTGCTTCCTACCTCTCTCTGCCTGCCTCTGCCTACTTGTGATCTGTCTGTCAAATAAAATCTTTAAACAAACAAACAAACAAACAAAAGAATAGAATGGAAACAAACAAGAAAATGAATAAATGAATGAGTGGATGAACAAATGGTCAAAAGAATGATAATTAACACCTTCTTGGTTCAAACGGACACATACACGGAACCTTCCCCTCTTCCTTTAATTGCCACCCACCCCCCACTCTGCACTCCTTCCAGAAGCAAGCAGACACAGCTCACTTAAACACTGGTTTCAATGGACAAAGTTAACTGGGTGTGGGGGGCCAGCCGGAGTTGTTCTTTTAGGTAAAAAGAGAGTTGTTACTTAAAGACAGCTTCTATTTGTCCAAGCTTTTGTCCAAGAGAAGAGAACTCCTGTCAGCACAGGGAGCCAAACAACACCCCCAACGACACCATGGGGGGCTGCGAACGCTGTGTTGGAGGCTCAGAAAGACACTGACTACTGCATTCAGTGGTCGCTGAAGGACACCTCACCCAGCTCCAACAGTGTGCGATCTTCTCTCATTAATCAAGGCCATTCTGTGACCTCTGCTTTGGGAGTCTTTAAAAGCTCTCACTCTTGCACCCAAAAAACTGTCTGAGAGTCTAGAACAAGTCTCGTTTTCGTTTCTGCCTTTCCAATACAGATCCTAGAGAGGGGATGCTTCAGTTTTAGCTTTAAGCTTTCTGTTGCTTTAAATCTAACTTAATCCCAGTTAAAAAAATCCCTCCTCTTTCTTCTTGTAAATTCTGGAGCTCTGAAGCAGCAGCCTGGCTTCCTGCCAGGAATCAAAACCCACAGTTCTGTTCTTTGCTCTACCCTTATAAACAGGTTCTGATAGGAAAATGCGCTGGCGATTTGTTTGGTCTTTGGCTGAGCAGGTCTTTAACACATAATGCAGATAACTGTGTCCTGGGCCAATGAGAACAAACTGCAGGCGACTGAGAATGGAAAGTATGTTGCCGGGGCACCAAGTTCCAACCACCATTCTCCCAGAAGAACAAGTATCACACTCTTCATCTTTTAAAATATTCGCCTCATGTTTACATAGTGTCTGTATGTTTGTAGAGCACATTCACTGGACACTTTTTCATAGGCTTGGAAGTGTTCTGCCCTGGAATGAATTGGGAGAGGTCATTTTCGTCCAACAGGGCTGCACAAACAGGAGTCATTTCAGGAACATTCCCAAGAAGGGCTCACTTGCTTGAAAACATTCAGAGGCAGGATGGACTCTGAAAGATATCTGTCACCCTTATTCCTGGGAATGTATTCCTCCTAAGGAGTCAGAACCACACTCCCTATGACTTCGGCAGTTAATCAAGCCCACGGTCCCTATAGCTCTAGAGTAAAGTAAGTCCTTTGTGATGGGGAAACAGCATGAGTTAGCTCTGTGCTCACTGAGAGCAAAGTGGGTCATTAAAGCCTCCTAGAATCTGATGTCGAGTATCCAACCAGCTGCTCTTTGACCCTGAAGTTCACACTAATCAGGGCAACAACAGCAATAATGTTGGGGGGCTCCCCCTCATAATTACTGCTGGGGAAGAGACTTAGCGGGGGCACAGATCACTGGACGCAGTAGCCAGGTTTCCCCATGGGCAGTACTATTCCCAGGTGAGTAAATAGCTCATGGGAGCTGACTTTCAACCCAAGCAAAAAAACCATGTATGGTTTTTACACAAAGATCAAGCAAACCCATGATTTCTGTTTTGCTCCCTGGACTGGGGGAGTTAAAGTTCCAACAGTTCACTTGCAATTTTAACAGCATTCATTTTTCTGAGAAGTGAAGGATGCCCTGTGCCCCCATTTTCCTGCCTTCATGCTTATACTCTGGCTTTTCAAATATTTGAAAAGGACCGATCTTTCAAAAGCATCCAATGGCTGTCCATCTCGCTTTGAATACTATTTCTACTCTTCGGCATGGTCTCCGCAATGCCCCCCAGAGGCTGCCCCCACACGATGCCCCTTACCCCCGTGGATTCTTCCCTAACAGCTCCCTCCTGGCTCTCTCTGCTCCAGCCCTAGCCAGCTCTGCTGCTTGTCACCTGACATAAGAAGCAAGCCCCCATGTGGTGACCTCTGTCCTTACCGGGATGGGCTCTCCCCAGATCCCCACACAGCTCAGTCCACCACTTCCTTCAACTCTCTGCTCAAAGGTCACCTTATTAGAAATCCCTTCCTCACACACCCACGTAGAATGGCGTGTTCCTCTTTTCGTCTTTATCCATCTTATCCTGCGAAATACATCATCCCCTCCTGAAACGGGACCTGGTTCTTAAGTATGGTGTTGAAGAGAACCAAAATTCTTGTTTTATTTACTACTGTTTTCCCAAAAGTGCCTTACAGGTTCTTAGAAAATATATGTGCGTTGACTACATAAATGGATAAAAGAAAATGGGCTGATGACGCTAACGGTCTTATTTTCTACCCCTTCTCCACCTCTGGCCTAGGAGAAAGCAAGCGAGGCCTGTGGCAAAACTCAATGAACAGGAGTCTTCTGTTTTCTGCCTCCTCCACTTGGCCGGACCTGCCAAAGGGAAAATCCTGAGCTCTCCATCCTATGGCTCATCTGAAAAAGTCTCTGTGCTCTGAAGAAGGAAGGTTATAGTGTGTAGAGGACCGACAGCAGCCAACTAACAGGGTGTAGCACACGACTCGGCTCATCATAAATTTTCAATGATTTATGATGTCCTTCTGGGCATGGAGCCTGCATTCAGGAGAGGAGGCTGGGGCATATGCCACAGCTCCTTGCCCTGGATGCCCGGCCAGGATTTTATAGTACTCTGGAAGTATCAGTAAGAGTAAATCCTGCAGTCAACAAGCCACTTGTGTTTTCTTTTGGCGGGGAAAGAGAGTCCTAATTCTCAATCCTAACACTGTTTAATGATGGAACAAAACATAAGAGCAATTAGACTATGAAATAAGCACACCGTGTTATCTTCTTGGTTCTGAGGACTGAATGGCCTTACTGTACAACTGTGACAGGAACAGAGAACTGCTTGTCTTGTGTTGCAAGTGTTCTATAAGAGCCCGGCTTTGCTTTACCTCTCCTCAATAGCAGTTACAGAAAACAGCAGGGCAAAAAAAGGGGCTCCTTTTTAAAAGACCCTTCACGAAAGCGTAGCGTAGTCCTTTAAAGAAACCACCGCCAAAATGCCACCCAAGGGGACACTTGGAAAAACTTCCCAAACAGCTCGAGAACATAAGGCAGCGAAATAAAGCCAAAGTCCCCCACTAAAAATACTCAGGGGTCTGGCCATTTTCGTTTTGATCCGTGTCTCTCCCCTACTTAAAAATCCGA